GGGGGACCAGAAGGGTTTGGGGGAGACGCTGTTTCCCCTAGCGCCCGCTGGCATAACAAGGAGTAATGGGCACAAGTTGATGGAGAGGAGGTATAGATTGGACATCCGCAAAAACTACTTCACAGTTAGGGTGGCTAGGAGCTGGAACCAACTTCCAAGGGAAGTGGTGCTGGCCCCTACCCTGGGGGTCTTTAAGAAGAGGCTGGATGCCTACCTGGCTGGACTCATTTGAGTCCCGTTTCTCTTTTGGGGGTTTTTTGTTGTTCTCCCGCCCTGGCGGGGGGTCGGGCTAGAAGATCTACTAGGTCCCTTCCGACCCTTAATCTATGAATCTATGAAAACATTTCAAACTTAAAAGAGTAATATTTGGTTAAAAAAATGCAGATAGAAGTGAAGCAAACCATCAAAGATAACATGCAGCCATTCACAGAGCAGGTTTGAGCCCAGGTTGAAACCCTCCATGTGAACATCAAAGAATAAGATAAACAAGGTTTTTATGCACACTTTGAAGCATGATGATAGCCACTGTTCTGTGCATCAGAACTGCAATTTTCTTCAAGTGAAAATCCCTCTGAAAATTATTCAGGAACGTCTAAAAATAGTTCTAAAAGTAACTATTGATTCTAACACTAATTTCTAATTTAAAAATAACATATTATCACCATTGTATTCTAACATGTCTTTTTATATTCTTCAATTCTAAATAGCCTGACATCTAAGCAACCTAAAGAGCAGTTAGCAACATGCTTTAAGTGAGCAATATCCCCTGCATCTTGCATTGTATTATAGCTAATGTATAGGTCATAAAATGGGTCAGATCCTTAGCTGGTGCAAGCAGATATTCATTTAGCACGTCTACATGTGCACTTTCATGCACAGTAGCCTATTTAACTGTGCATTTAAGAATCATGTAAAAATGTGTGATTACGCTAACGTGCAGTAAAATAGGCTACTGAGCACAGTAATAAATATGTCACTTAAATTGTGCATATTTATTACTGTGCATTGGAGGTACTAAATTTAATGCACATTAGGAAAAGTGCCTTAATGCACATGTAGATGTGCTCGTTTAGTGTAAATCACTATATCTGGGAGACATGCACATAATGCCCCAGGGTCTGGCTTCCTTACCTTGGATGCATAGATTGCATGGGGATTTTGTAAAGGTGACAGCAGGGAAACACTGAACTGTTCTGGGATGTCACAGACCGCAGGGATTTTATAATGATCTGGTCCCCGAGTGTGAAGGGCTCCTTTGGGAGAATAGTTTAATTCCTCCATTGTATAAAGTCCAATGCCCTGAACAAAGGCTCCTTCAATCTTGGGACAACAAATGACAAAGTTTATCTTTTTATACACTGGAAGACATATACGGCCTTGACAAGAGTTAGTTCTTCTCTAAGTTTCTGAAGCACATTCTTCTTCCTATTTGATCACTCATTTCCAGCCCTGACTTCCCACCCTCCCCACCTTGGGGCTGCTGGGGTTACTGGGAAGAAGAAAGCTGTCTCCTCTCTCTTTACCTCCACAGTCTATGCCTAGCAGATAAGTAGATGCTGATCAAAGTCATAATACACAGGTGAGCAGCAAACTGCAGACCAACCTAGGGCTTGAAACCAGGCCAGCAATGGTCAGAGAGGTGCAAGTGGGATGCACTGCAGCATGCCACTAGGGACTATGGGTGCTATCCTGGCCTCCCTGAAGTCAGCGGGCCAAAATTCTTTTCCCTCTCCTTTCTGCCCGATGAGATGATCTACAATGTGGGTGACATGAATTTAATTTTGCCTGGATGACCAGGACACCCTGCCCAAGAAAGACAACAATCACTTGCTTGGTATGAACTGGATAGCATGACATTCCTAGCACGTACCTGCCCTATATCCACTGCTGGATTTATGCTGCATCCAATGTCCATAACAATGTCAGTTCTGAGGTTCTATTAATAAAATACAAATATGTAGTGTAGAAAGTAAGGCATGGGTGGATGGGCAAAGAGGTTTTGAGGGTTAGAATTAGCATCCAGTGGGACAAGTCACATTCATAAAACCTCTCTCAGGATGCACAATGCTGAGCTATTATCTGGCAGTCTCTCCAGAGGTAAAGGGCATTTTTATATATTTTCTGGGGGTGAGGACGCTTTAAGTAGAATGGCTCCAAGAGCCGCTCTAATTAAAGTGCCCACAGCATCTCATGCATTCAAAGCCTCACACTTCAAAAAGGCAGTGGAGGCACTTTAAAGCTTGTTCAACAAACTTTAGTTAAAGCGCCCCGCCACCATTTTGTAGTGTGGGAACACTGAATACATGAGACACAGAGACTGCTGGGACACGCTAATTAACACCAACCAGCAGAATTTATTAATTGAGTCTGCTCCAATGCACTGTAATTACAGCATGTCAGAGCAGCATCCCCACATGTCTACATGCACTCAAAGTATCCATTAGCCTAAGTGTGATTAGTCAGTGCAAAAGACTGAAGGAATCTGTTCACTGTATTCACAGCTACCACCAACCCTTCTCACAGAAGCAAGCACTAAGTTGAGTAGGATGTATTTGCAGGGTTGAGTCTTTGCCATGTCAGATGGTTAAGAGACTGGAAATAAAATACAGAGCTGCAATGTCACTTGTCTGAGTGCAGTCACTAAAGGAAAAAGACAAATCCTGCCTGCCTGCTATAGTATAAAACTTGAACACATGGTATTTTTACAAATCCAGCAAAGGTATGATTGTAAGCAGGTTATACAATTTTCAGTCGACTTCAACTGTCATTGCTACTTCTTTTAGACCCTTCCTGTGTTTAATGCAGTATAACCCAGATCATATATCAGTGGAAAAATAAGGCTACACAAGAAATACTGGTGGAACCTCCTTTGCACTATGCATGAGTTGTGACAGGTACTGGTTACCTTGTGATCTCCTGTGAGACAGTCAATTGCAACCTCTGAGCAAGCAGCTCCATGAACAAAATATGTAAATGGCTGTCCTTCTCCCTTCTCCCAGTCCATATTTCCATCATAGCCTCTAGTTGAAACAACAGAGTGCACATAAATCACAGAAGTTTAGTTTGTTCTGTCAGTATCTGAATTACTACAATAAACTTAATGACCAAGAAGTGGGAAATCACTTAAAGTGGAAACATCATAATGGGGCAATCACCAGAATAATACTTCATGAAAGTCAACAGGGCTATGCTAATTTGCATCCCCTGGGGATCTGTCACCATGTCCATATTATAGTCAGGCAATCAACATGCTAAACAAAACACTCCAATCCAGAAATGTTCATAACAAAATCCCAGAATGGTTCTGACAGAGACTACCCAGGAAACCATGTCTAAAAGACCAGTTTAAAGTTACAAGTACATTGCCGAGGGTCAATAAAAAAATCCGAGTTGTCAATAAAAAAATGCTGCTGTCAAGTCCTGTCCATCTAGTTCCACTGCTTGAGTTATTAACCTTAAAAGCCACTCCTAAAATTCATGCTTGCAGTTTTATTGGGACATATCTCCCAAACCCATAACCCTAGGGAGGTCTAAAAATATGTTACCTGAAATACCCAGTGGCTGAAAGACTAATGCTTTGCTTAAAAGCTTCTTTAACCTGAAAGAGACAAAAGACATTTGGGTAAATTAATCCTATAAGAAGGAGTTTGCACTCACACATATGCATTTAAAAATCAAAGTGTCCAACAGAAAGCTGAGAAAGCACTATCAAAATAGAGAGAATAACGTCTGGACTGTCTTATGTAAGGAAGGCTGTTCAGGCAGGACAAATGTGATCGGAGTTTCTAAATCTCTATTCCAGGTCTAAACGGTGCTTTGTTCTGATCAACAATTTTACACACTTCATGTGTGACAGTCCCACTCTAATGCTAATCATTAGGGAATGTATTTAAAACTTGGGGAATGCAAGTGTCATGTATGGCTAAACTCACACTTGATATTTTTAGGACTATAATATTCTGCTAGGATCAGGGGAAAACAAGATAAAAGTCAAGAAGTTCCCCCTTCCTCCTGTAAGAAACACAGAGGTCTTGTCAAAAGTGCCTTCATCTTCCTCCACTGTATAAGGATTAGATCAGACTCTTCCTTGTTTTCGCAGACTAAGTGTTTGACCATAGTAACACAAACAAACTGAAACCCATTACCATAACTCATGTCTGACCAACCTGACTACCTTCTATGATGAAATGACTGGCTCAGTGGATGTGGGGAGAGCAGTGGATTTGCTATACCTTGACTTTAGCAAGTCTTTTGATATGGTCTCCCACAGCATTCTCACAAGCAAGCTAAGGGAATACCGGTTGGATGAATGGACTGTAAGGTGGAGAGAAAACTGTCTAGATCATCAGGCCCAAAGGGTAGTAATCAATAGCTTGATATCTAGTTGGCAGCTGGTATCAAGTGGAGTGCCCCAGGGATTGGTCCTGGGGCCGGTTTTGTTCAATATCTTCATCAATGATCTGGAAGTTAGGATGGAGTGCACCCTCAGCAAGTTTGCAGATGACACCAAACTGAGAGGAGTAGTAGATACAGTGGAAGGTTGAGCTAGGATTCAGAGAGACCTCCAAAAATTGGAGGACTGGACCAAAAGAAATCTCATGAGGTTCAATAAAGACAAGTGCGAATTCTTGTACTTAGGACAGAACAATTCAGATTGGGGACCGACTGGCTAAACAGCAGCTCTACAGAAAAGAACCTGGCATTACAGTGAAAAATAAGCTGGATATGAGTCAACAGTGTGCCCTTGTTGTGAAGAAGCCTAATGCATACTGGGTTGAATTAGTAGGAGCGTTGCCAGCAGATTGAGGGAATCAATTATTCCACTCTATTCTGCACTGGTGAGGCCACATCTGGAGTACTGTGTTCAATTTTGGGCTCCCCACTACAGAAAGATTGTGGACTAATTGGAGAGAGTCCAACAGAGGGCAACAAAATGGTTAGGGGGCTCAGGTACTTGACTTCTGAGGACAGTCTGAGGGAACTGGGTTTCTTTAGTCTGGAGAAGAGAAGACTAAGGGCAGATTTAATAGCAGTCTTCACCTACCTTATCTGCCACCACGGAGAACAGTTTAGCCCTATCCAAAGAGGCTAAAGGCTAAAAGCTATCCCAAAGAGGACAGGGCTAAACTGTTCTCCGTGGTGGCAGATAACAGAACAAAGAGGAATTGTCTTGCGTTGCATGAAGGGAAGTTTGGGTTAGATGTTAGGAAAAACTCTCACAAGGAGGGTAGGAAAGCACTGGAACAGGCTACCCAGAGACGTTGGGTGACTTAAGGTTACCTTGGAGGTTTTTAAGACCTGGCTAGACAAAACTGTGGCTGGGATGATATAGATGG